CATTTTATGGTCAATTTCCTACAAAGAAAGAATAGTTTTCTAACCATAGGGTGCTAGAACAACTGAATATTTACATGCAAAAGAAAGAAGTTAGATGCCTTTTTTCCACAATATACAAAAAATAATTCGAATTAGGTTAAAGATCTAAGTGTAAATACCAAAACTATAAAAGTCTTAGAAGAAAACTTAGGTGTACATCTTTATGCCTTTAGGTTAGACAATGGTTTCTTAGATATGACATCAAAAGTCCAAGGAACAAAAGAAAAAACAGATAAATTACATGTAATCAAAGTTAAAATATTTTATGCTTTAGATGACACGTTAAGAAATGGAAAAGAACCCATAGAATAAGATAAAATATTTGCAAACTACATATCTGATAAGGCACACATATCCATATATATATATATATCTTACAACTCAACAGTAAAGGACCAATAACCTAATTGAAAAATGGGCAAAGGATTTAAATAGACATTTCTCCAAAGTAGCTATGCGAATGGCCAATAAGTACACACAAAGATGCTCTACCTTGTTAGCCATCAGGGAAATGTAAATAAAAAACACAATGAGATGGTACTTCTCACCTACTAAGCTAGCTATAATTAAAGTGACAAATGTTAGTAAGGATGTGGAGAGACTGGCACCCTGATACTTGCTTGTAGTAATGTAAAATGATACAGTGCCTTGGAAAACAGTTTGCAATTTTTCAAAGGGTTCAATATAGGGCTACCATATTATCCAGCAGTTCTATACCTAGGTATATGCCCAAGGGAATTGAAAACATGTCTATACAAAACTTGTACATGAATGTTCATAGAAGCATTATTCATAATAACCAACAAGTGGAAACAATTCAAACACACATAATGGATAAACAACATGTTGTATATACATACAATGGGATATTATATAATCATAAAAGGCTTGGAAAAGGAATAAAGTATTAATATATGCTATATCATGCATAAACTTTGGAAATATTATGCTATACAAAAGAAGCCAGTCACGGAAGGCCACCTGCTGTATTACTTAATTTATATGAAGTTTTCAGAAGGGATAAATCCATAAAGACAGAAAATAAATTAGAAATTGTTAGGGACTTGTTTGTTGGGGGGAAAGGTGATAATGGGTATGGGATTTCTTTTTGGGGTAATAAAAATGTTCTGAAATTAGATTAATTTAATTTAATTAGATTAATTAATTCTGAAATTAGATAGTGGTGAGGGCTACTACTGAATCATACTCTTTGAAATTATGAATTTTATGGTGAATTATATCTCAAAAAAAAAAAAAAGACCTGGGGTGCCTGGGTGGCTCAGTGGGTTAAAGCCTCTGCCTTCAGCTCAGGTCATGATCCAAGGGTCCTGGGATCGAGCCCCACTTTGGACTCTCTGCTCTGTGGGGAGCCTGCTTCCTCCTCTCTGTCTTTGCCTGCCCCTCTGCCTACTTGTGATCTCTGTCTGTCAAATAAATAAATAAAATCTTTAAAAGAAAAAAAGACCTTCAAGACAGAGAAAGTTGTGTGATTTTACATGTCTCATGATACATTCTCATTCTATATAAATGCCCTCAGTGGTTCAAAGTACATTTATAGATTTCTTCTTGTTTTTCTTCTCATACCCTACATCATTTAGTACAGTGCCTTCCAAAATGTATGATCTTATAAATCATTTTAGGTGTGAAATGTATGCATTATATGTGTCAATTGTTTTTTAATCTCCTTGAGCTCCCTAATAAAAAACATTACTCAAACCTCATGTTTTATTTTTCTCCCCTCACCCACAAATTCCCTGAGGTTAAAAATCATGGTAGATTCATCCCCCTATTCTTTGCACACTCAAACCTCGCTTTTATTCCCACCTTGTATTAGTGTCTGATACAAAGATACTGCTTATAATTCTTTTAAAACTCCTTTTATTTCCCCCTCCCCAACTTGAACCTAATCTTAATGACCAATACTGGGTTTCATTCATATTTGTATTCTCTACCATCCTCTTGTGCAGCCCTATTCTTCATGTAAGTTCTTTTTTTTTAAAGATTTTATTTATTTACTTATTAGAAAGAGAGAGAGAGAGCATGCGTATGCACATGAGCTGGGGGAAGGGCAGAGGGGAAGGGAGAGAGAAAGAATTTCATGCAGAATGCTTAGTGTGGAGCCCGACATGGGGGTCGTGATCTGAGTGGAAACCAGGAGTCTGGTGCTTAACCGACTGAGCCACCCAGGCGTCCCTACATGCAAGTTTATAATGAATGAATAAATTCTGTTATATCTGGTCTCCCATTTGCCACACCAAATTGTACTTTTACCCAATTCATGTTTCAAATTAATGTACTCTAGTTTAACCATGCATGCATCTATTATTTGGACTGTCATTTATAGGTTCATTACTCATTTGTTTGTCTTAAAAAATAAATGCGAAGGTAAGAGAAACTATTTTCCCAGAGATCATAACCTGTGCAATTATATTTGTATATTCTCCAACTGGGAGTCTGCTAAATATGGCCAGATGATGGTGAAATCCCAACTCTTCGCTTGCCTATTTGGATTTTACATCCTTGCAGGAGACAGTTTTCTTATTTTTTTTTTAAAGATTTTATTTATTTATTTGACAGAGAGAAAGGTCACAAGTAGGAAGAGAGGCAGGTAGAGAGAGAAGGGGAAGCAGGCTCTCTGGAGCCTGATGCGGGGCTTGATCCCAGGACCCTGGGATCATGACCTGAGCCGAAGGCAGAGGCTTAATCCACTGAGCCACCCAGGCGCCCCAGTTTTCTTACTTTTGAAACAATTACAATGAAAGGTGAAAACTGGGCTCTCATAGAGCATGGAACAGGTACTGACTGGACCAGGAGTCCAGGAAGTAAACAGAATCAGCCTTGAAGAGCAAATGTTGTAGGTTGGCCACCAAACTCTGTCTCTGGTGTTTTCTGGAGGCATTTTTCTTGGGATCAAGGCAGGTATACTAGAAGTAATGTGAGTGGTTAGAGGCAGGGGTTTCTACCTTTGCTGTGAATTAATTGAACTTTTCTCCTCCTAGGTCCCCGGGTCCAGCACTTCTCAATTTGATACACAACTAAATAAAACAGTGCACCAGGTTTTCCCCCCTAAAACTGACTAGCAGCTTTAAAGCCTATTGTTCTACTAATGCTTCCTTCTGATTATTTATTTATACGTATTTCTTTAAAATCCAAATTGTCATATGTTCCAGACAGAAAAAATCCTGAAAGTCATCAGAGCAAAACTGAAATAGGTTTCACTCAATGCTCTCCACTTTTCTACTTACCCTTAAATTGATGTAGAGAGATGTTGTGTACTTAGCTCAAAATAAATACACTTGGTAGTACAACCAAATCTCCTGCAATACTCAGGATTGATTCTCTCTTTACCCTAGGTTGTTTGCCTGACTCCCTCCTCTCTTAGGATAAGTTATTCCTCAGGACGCCAGAAGTTCCTTCTGCAACTGACTTGTGGTGTCTGCCCTATCAGTTTCCTAGATGTGCTCACACTTGTCTAAACCCCAGGCAATGACACACCTCAAGCTTAAACTAAGACCTCTTCATCTCACTACACAGATTACTGACAACACAGACTGGCTCCATACAGTGTTTTACACAAGAATGGTCATAAATCAAGGCAGAGAAGCTTACACAATTCTCTATGATTAACCTTTATTTGAAGGTGACAATGATCAAATTAAAGAAAGAAAAAGTAATGATGCAAACTTCAGATATCGGGGCGCCTGGGCGGCTCAGTGGGTTAATGCCTCTGCTTTAGGCTCAGGACATAATCTCAGGGTCCTCCGTATTGTGCTCTCTGCTCAGCAGGGAGCCTCCTCCCCCTCCTCCCCCGACTACTTGTGATCTCTGTCTGTCAAATAAATAAATAAAATTAAAAAAAAAAAAAAAAAGAAATAGAATAAGCATATTCCATGCTGGGTTCTTGTACAAAGCTAGAGGTGACATTAGAATGGAGAGAGAAACCAAACTTTGGAAAGGGATTAGGACCCCTTTATTGTCTTTCCCATACTTTATGCAGCACAAACCTTCCCTCACACTAATCTCTCACATCTTTCGTGCACAATGCTTCACAAAGAAGTTTCGGCCTTGTTTTTTAAACGTGTTTTGGGGGCTCGCATCCAGCTAGTGTATTTTCCGTCATGGAGAGAGCCAAGAAAAGATAAACGTTTTTGATAAATATATACAGGCTTTTTAAAAGAGTCAGGGCTGAGCTCAGAGAAGAGAAAGGAGCTTTGGGATTGGGAACAGCGTCCCAAACCCCTTATGAAGATGCTTACTGTTACAGAATTAAACAAGGAAGCGACTTGTTTTGAATCCAGTTTTGTCACTGACTCACTGTATGAATTCAGGCCTAACCCTTCCTATTTCTGTCTTCAGTTTTCCCATTTTTCATTAGTTGGATGAAGTAGACTTTGATCTCTAGCAGCACGGGGCTCCCTGGCGCAAAAAAAAAAAAAAAAAAAAAAAAATAAGGTTCTGTCCACTCTTACTAGCACTTACTAGCTGTTACACTTATTAGCTGTTACAACTTTTGGAAAATTGGTTTACCTCTTCTGGGCCTTAGTTTCCTCATTTATAAAATTGGGAAAATCAGTCCCCAGCTTACCTTATAGTATTACAATAATTTGCCAAAATAACAGAAAGGCAGTTTTGTCATAAAAATGCTGTACACCTGCGAGGTAACTGAAAGTCGAGAACGAGAGAGATCTATAATGTAGAAAGAAGAAAGGACTGGAGGCAAAGGCAAAAGAAATTTGGAATGGAAAAAGAAAAAAGAAGAAAGAAAAGGAGGAAGGACGAGACAAACTCGATGAAGATAAAGGCCGTAAGAACACGCAAGCGCTCTGGAAAACTGGGGGTAGGGCCGCCGGGAAGCCGGATCACGTTGCAGGCGGAACCATTTCGGCAGTGCACGGCGGTTAGGCGCGGACCTATTTGGCTGTGACGCCCGCTCGAGGCTTTTATCCCCTAGAGCTCAACTAAGACTTAAGATGGCGGCGTGTGTGCTGGGGAAAAGTACTGCCGGCCTACCAGGTGTGGAAAGCAGCCAAAGAGCAAATCTGAGGAAAGTACAGAAGCTCGCCAAGTTTTGTTTTGTGGTGAGTGCTGAGCTTCACGTCAGCTAGAGAAGTGTCCGTTAGTAAGGCTACACACTTCGGGATCGCGTGGCCTGCCTAAGTGGGGGGAGGAGCCGGCCGATTCTCATTTTTCTCTCCCGCCTCGCTCTAAAATATCGGAGAGTAATTTTTCTTTCTTTAGTCACCTTACCACCACTGAAAAAGCTAGACGGTTGTGGGTATTAGCTCGTAGGAGGGATTCTGGGCCATTTTCCTCTCATTTTTTCCTCATTTAAACGGGTTTTTATTGACACCACGTGGGCTTAAAATGAAAGATTTTGTGTCCCCAGAGCGCTTTCAGGAGCAGCCTAACCTCTTGGACCTACTTTCTCTTTACTTTCTTCGTACTGTATTTCGCGTGCAGACGTTGTGGTTTTGATAATCAGTTTGTAACATATTCATGGGCTAGATTAAAAAAAAATTTTTTTTAATGCCCCTTATGCTTCAGATGAGAACTTCTGGGCATTTTAAAATTAACATTTGTTCCGGAAGCACATTGTTATGTCGGAGGTAGGTGTGTGCTTCGGTGTACAGGTAATCTTTGGGGGGAATTGTTATATTATTTCGTGGATTATTACCTTGATTTCTTACTGAGTAGGAAAAGAAGTAGATTTTCCGTGTTCAGATCTGTTGATGAAAATAAATTTATATTAAGCATAACATGTTTGGGGAAGACAGTAAAAAATGTGCAGCTTTGTTTTTATGACGAGTAACTGGAAACAACCTGTATAGCCATCTATAGATTGTTGGAATAAATTGTGGGACCTTCGTGTTACGAAATATTTTGCAGCTATAGAAACAGATTTACCTCTTCACACACTTTTGATTTAGCGTATGTTAGATTGTTAGGTGAGAAAAGTAAGTTGCAGATGCTAATATATTCCTGTGTCTTTGGTGGGAAGGGTGATGAGGGAATGTAAGATTAACGTTTTTGTGTTCTTTTTTGGGGGGGGGTTTCCACATATGTTATGAAATAAGTACTTGAAATATACAGACATGTAATGAATAACACAAGAGATGACCCCCCAAAAAAACAAAACAAAAAACAGTGAACCTCTGTTTTCATCATCCAAACATAAAAATAATATATTACTATGATAGTTGAAGTTCTCTGTGTACCCATTCCTGGAGCTCTTTTCTTCCTTCATCCGCAGAGGTTAACCATTATTTTAAACAGTGATTATATTTCCCATGCATTTCTTAAACTTTTGTGACATGTGAACTTACTTCTAAGATGGGTTATTTTTAAAAAAAATTTTGAAGAGAATTTTTTAAAAGAAAAGTCAATAAAAAAGATTAATTTTTAAGTGCCTCTTATCTGGATTACAGTAACAGGGCCGTTTGAAGTTTCTTCTAAGTTGAAGGCAGAATCTAATTAAAAGAAAAACAAAAACAGGAAATAAGTGTTGGTAAGGAAGTAGAGAAATCGGAACTCTTGTACATTGCTTTTGGGATATAAAATGGTGCAGCATGGTTTTGCGATTTCTCTGTAGGTTTAACGTACAATTACTGTGCTTCCTTGCCAACACTTATTTCATTTCGTTTTGTTTTTTCCTAAGAAAATTAAAACCATTTTAGTATGTTTGAAGTATGTCATGGGTTAGATTTGCATTTTCCTAAAGAATTATTTGGGGCATGTTTTCATGTACTTGTTAACCATTTGTATATTTTCTTTGCAGAAATGTCTGTTCAGGTCCTTTGTCCATTTTTTAATTTGGGTATATTTGTTGCTGAGTTGTAAGAATTCTTTATATATTCTGAACTGTTATATATATGGTTTGGAAGTTTTTTTCCCATTCTGTAGGTATTTTTCATTCTTTATAATGTCTTTTGGTTTGCTCTACAATTTTTTTTTAATTTGAAGTCCAGTTTGTCTATTTCTTTTGTTGCTTGTGCTTTTGGTGTCAAATCTAAGAAATTTTTTTTTTGTTAAATCCAAAGTCATGAAGATTTATCTCTTTGTATTCTTCCAAATGTTTTATGGTTTTAGCTCTTGTATTTATGTCATTGATCTATTTTGAGTTAATTTTTGTATATGGTGTGAGGTCCAGCTGCATTCTTTTACATGCATATAGCCGGTTGTCCCAGCATCGTATGTTGAAGAGACCATTCATTCCCTATTGAATGGTGTTGGCACCCTTGTTGACGTCAGTTAGCCACAGATATAGGTTTATTTAAGGTCTTTCAGATTTATTCCATTTGTCTCTATATCTGTTCTTATGCTAGTACCACACTATTTTGATTACTCTAGATTGTAGTAAGTTTTAAAATTGCAAAGTATCGCTCCTCCAGTTTTGTTCTTTTTCAAGATTGTTTTGGCTTTGTGGGCGCCCTGCAATTCCATATGAATTTTAGGATTAGCTTGTCCATTTCTTTGTAGGCCATATGAAAAAAAAAAAGGAGTCGCAAACCAAAAACACAATAGTAATGGCTTTTATAGTTATCTGTATAGTTATCTTTACCTATGTTCTTTATTTTTTCATATACTTCCTATTATTTCCTATTTCATACTACTTTCTATTCTTCCATTTTAGCCTGAAGAAGTCCCTTTGGCAGTTCTTTTAGGGTAGGTCTATTAGCAACAAAATCCCTCATGTTTTCTTTATCTGGAAATGCCTTAATTTCTCCTTTCAGTTCTTTTGACAGAAATATAATTCACACACCATACAGTTAACCATTTAAAGTGTATAGTTCAGTGGTTTTTAATCTATGTACAGCTATCACTGCAGTCATTTTAGAATATTTTCATCACCCCAGGAAGTCCATGCACTTTTTAGCATGGACCCATATCTCCTTGAGTCCTATCTGCCCAGCCCTAGGTAATCATTAATCTACTTTTTGTCTCTATAGATGTCCCAGTTTTGAACATTCTCTATGAATGGAATAATATAGTATGTGGTCTGTTGTGATTGGCTGCTTTTACTTAGCATAGTGCTGCAACGTTCATCCATGTTGTAGCATGTATCAGTACTTCATTCTGTTTGTGGCTGATTAGTGTTACACATTATGGATATACCACATTTTGTTTATGCATTTATTCATTGATGGGCATTTAGGTTGTTTCCACCTTTAGGCTATTAAGAATAATTCAGCTAAAATATTCATGTACAAATTTCTTTGTAGACTTGTTTTCATTTCTCTATGTGTATACTTTAGAGTGTTTTTGCTGGGTCTTATGGTAGCTATGTTTAATTTTTTGAGAAACTGCCCAACTTATTTCCAAAGTGGTGGGCAACCATTTTACATTGACAGCAACAGCGTATGGGGGCTCTAACTTGTCTGCATTCTCACCAACATTTGTCATTTGACTTCATCCAATTCTAGCCATCCTAGTGGATGTGAAGTTGTATATCATTGTAGTCTTCTTTCCCACAAGGTTAGTCCTCAGATGGTGGTCCGTAGGGAGGGGCAATTTGAATATGCCCACAATCACCCTGGGATGACTGGTTTTGTTAGGGCTGTCTTTCCCTTACCACACCCAGCAGCCCAGAGATCAGCTTGCTGGGAACTAATTGTTCACTTGTTTTCCATAATGCCTGGGGGCATAAACTACTTTAAAAGTTAATCCAATCAAAATACGGTCCTTTGAACTAGTTTTTGAGGATAGTGTTTGATACTTGTTTTGACCCTAGGAGGGCTCCTCCCAGTTGCTTCAGTCCCCAGCTCTCTCCTGCAAGCTAGTTTACCTACATAGAGTTTAGCCTCTATATTTTGAATCTGCTAGTTGGCTTTTGCTACAACCTCATTTTCTTTTTAGGACTCCTTAAGGCTTGACCTTCTCCATGCTCTTGTAAATGCAGTCAGTCCCTTTGGGAAGAAATTAAGAGCTCTCTGTTTTAATGTCTGCTTGAGCCTGGTCTCTGGAGGTGGGGTAGGAACAACCCAAGTTTCACTCTGAGTGACAATACTCTCAGGGGTGTAGGGTGTAGCCAGAGGTCATCTGGGTTTGCTTTTCTCTCCTCACAACCCAGGGCAGGGATGATAAGATTCCGGGTCTTTTCCATGCACCATACCCAATAAAGTATAGATTCCACCAGTGGAGGCTGGAAGGGCTAGAACCCCTACCTCACTTGCCCAGGACTCAACCCTATTAATAGGCAGCTTGGGACTGGATGAGAAACGGTTCTTCCTGGGAAGAAAGCACTCTGAACTCTGGACCTGGGGGAGGGGCGGAAAGGGAGCCCTGTATTCTTGGTTGCAGGAATGGAGATTCCGCTTTCTTGAGCTGAGATGAGAGAGGGAGGTATTTGTTCAAATCAGACTCATCTTTCTTAGTGAATTTTTGAAGTTGTCCTTGAATATATGTTTCTTCATTTGCCGTTTATCCTTAGATCAGTTTCCAGAGGCTTTAAATGGCTTCAAAATAAAACAGTTTTCATCAGTTTCAGTGGGGAGCCGCAGGTCACTGGAGCTCCTCATTACTGTCATGCCATAAGCTGATCTCTTTACTTTATTTTTGAAAGACGTTTTTTATCAGATACAGAAGTGTTGTTGACAGCTTTTTTCTTTCGGCACTTTAAATATGTCATTGCATGGCGTTCTGGCCTCCATGATCTCTGATGATGGGTTGCTTCTCTTGATTGTAGGATTCTTTGGGGGAATGTCTATTTGGGATGTCTTTGAGTTTATTCTCTTTGGGGTTCATTGAATTTTTTAAGTTATGTAGATTCGTTACTATTAAATTCTTTATGACTCTTATTTTGTTCTGGACCTCTCATTTTGCATATGTTGCTACGCTTGGTGTTGTCTCTTAGAGTCTTAATTTTTCTTCAGTTTTTTCTTTTTCCATTCCTCATACTAGATAATCTTAATTTAACTATCTTCATGGTCATTTATTCTTTCTTCAGCCTATTGAAATTTTATGTTGAACCCCTCTGAAATCCAGGGAATTTTTCATTTCAGTTACTGTGCTTTTCAGTTTCAGAATTTGTATTTGGTTCCTTTTTATAACTTGTGTTTCTTTATTGTTATTTTCTGTTTAT